GTACTTCATATTTCTAATTTCCGTTACAAGAATGAAAAATAGGATATATACTTTAAGCAGATTTTAACTTCATATGTTACATGAGGCATTTTATCTAAAGTATCAAGTTATGAAGGGGCGAATATAGGGCAGGTCGAACGGGGCGGCCGCCCCGGACCCCGCACTCAAAAAAGCCCCGCGCATGCACCGCGGCGCCACCGCGCATGCGCATGGCGTCACAGCGCATGCGCTGTGGCAAAGGGGGGCCCCGCGGTGTCATCTGCCCCTGAAGTTATTCATATTCATATTAACATGCACATTTTCATAAAACATGGGAGAGGCATGACAATATTGCTACCAGCTTATTATTTACAATGCCACCTGAAAGTGAGAGCAGGTGTTTGCATGGCACTTTTGTAGCTGGCATTGCAGGGTATTTGTGTCACCTATGCTAAATATTCATATGCTCCTTCATGCTTTGGCCACCATTCCAGAGAACATATTTCATTGCTGAGGCTTGTTTGTTTAAAATATAATGCATCAATTAAATTTGTGACTGAACTCCTTGGGAGAGAATTGTATGCCTCTTGCTCTGTTTTACCCACATTCTACCATATATTTCATGTTCTGGCAGTCTCAGATGATAACCCAGCACATGTTCATTTTCAGAGCATTTTCATAGCAGATTTGACAAAACAGAAAGACGGTACCAATGTGAGACTTCTATAACTCGAGCACTCAACTAAAGGTTTACAAATCTGTCAATGTCTTCTCTTCTAAAATCTTAGAGGGAGGAGTTGTGAAGTATAGTTTCAGAAGTATTAAAAGAGTTGATACTTTTTTAATAGGAGTTAGGAGTTACTATAGAGAACTTTCTGGGTGTCTGGCTGGTGAGTCTTGCCCACATGCTCAGGGTTTAGCTGATTGCCATATTTAGGGTCAGGAAGGAATTTTCCTCCAGGGTAGATTGGCAGAGGCCCTGGAGGTTTTTTGCCTTCCTCTGTAGCATGGGGTACAGATCATAGCTGGAGGATTCTCTGCATCTTGGGGTCTTCAAAGTATTTGAAGGCTTCAATATCTGAGATATAGGTGAAAGGATTATTCTAGGAGGGGTGGGTGAGATTCTGTGGCCTGCCCTGTGCAGGGGGTCAGACTAGATGATCATAATGGTCTATGAGTCTATGAATAAGAGCAATCCTGAGGTGAAAACCAGAGAACCCAATCACCAAAAAAAGAAAATCAACCTTCTGTTGGTCGCATCTGACTCAGATGATAAAAATAAATATGAATAGGTCTACACTGTAGACAGAATCTGTCATCAGCATGGACGTATGTTCTCTGCAATGATGTTTGATGCATGAAGGGACATATAAATACTAAGCACATCTGGCATGTGAATGAGATGCCCACTACAACAGTGCCATGTGAATGCCTCATCTCACTCTCAGGTGACACTATAAACAAGAAATGGGCAGCATTATTTCCTGTGAATGTAAACAAACTTGTCTGAGCAATTGGCTGAGCAAGTAGAACTGAGCGGACTTGTTGGGTCTAAAGTTGTAAATTGTTTTATTTTTGAATGAAGTTAAAAATCAACATTTGTAAGTTCAACTTTCATGCTAAAGAAATTGCACTAAAGTACTTGTAATGGGGGAACTGAGTACTATTTCTTTTGTACTTTACAGAGCAAATATTTGTAAATCAAAAATAAAGTGACTTTTTATTCAGTATTCTAATTGAGATTAATATATTTGAAAAAGTAGAAAACATCCAAAATATTTCAGTGTATTCTATTATAGTTTAACAGTGTGATTAATTGCACAATAAACTTTTTAATTGCTTGACAGCACTAATTAGGATATGAACATATCACAACACAGTGCTCATCTCATCTTTTTTCTGGTAATTTAGTGAATATATCCCAGGAAAACAATAGACATTGCTTAATCCACAAAACCACAATTTATCTAAGGACTGGCAAGATGGATTCTCTTTCCAGCTATACCTCTCCTGTGTAAAGTTGGGCAAAGGAGGTAAATACTTATTTGTCTTCATTTCCCTCTGTGTAACATGGAGTTAATGATGCTCCTATATACATTTCATTAATGTCTATAAAACACTTCGAGATTCTTAGATGCAAAGGGCTGGTGAAGTGCTAAGTATTATTTTGATTGATTGAATTATTATATTAGTGTTCAGTTGATAAGTCTTTAAAAGCCACAAGCTTTGTGGCAATGCATAAACCAACAGGGAGAATTGATTTGCTGAGTTCAAATATCTTTCTGTGCCAAACATCTCAATAAGCAATATTAAATAATGCATGGATTTTTTTCTCATGCCCCCAAGGACTAAGGAAATTACTGACACATCTCTATGATGATGTTGCTAGTTTGACAGCATGAGGACTGCCCTAGAGTACAGATTTTTTTTTTGTGCTAGTCTGCCTTCTACAAACTAGTGACTATTTTACATGGGGTAGATAGTGGTAAATAATCAAGAACAACTTTCAGGATGTGTTATAGTAGCCAAAGGCATGGCCACTCTGGCCCCATTTTGGGGGGGTTGCTACTGTAATGTATGGGATATATTGGCCATAGAAACACTTGCATGAATTATGTTTACATGTCCATGATTTTACAGTTTGCCTATCTTTTATCAGCCATACCAACTATAATACTTAGGAGGTCAAATGGCCACACTTACCATACTTTGTACCTTATTCATTCTATTATATTAATTAGTTTATATAGTTTGTATATTAAATTAAAGTTTCTTCTCTCAATATGAATTATCTAGTTAGATATAGCAACACAGGTAAGGGTGGAGATCATAGAATCATAGAACAATAGAGCTGGAAAAGACCCCAGAAGGTCATCAAGTCCAGCCCCCTGCCCTAGGCAGGACCAATCTCAACTAAATCAACCCAGCCAGGGCTTTGTCAAGCCGAGACTTAAACACATCTAGGAATGGAGACTCCACTTCTTCCCTAGGTAACCCATTCCACTGCTTCACCGCCCTCCTAGTGAAATAGTTTTTCCTAATATCCAACCTGGCCCTCTCCCACCACAACTTGAGACCATTGCTCCTTGTTCTGCCATCTGTCACTACTGAGAACAGCCTTTCTCCATCCTCTTTGGAACCTCCCTTCAGGAAGTTGAACACTGATATCAAATCCCCCCTCACTCTTCGCTTCTGCAGACTAAACAGACCCAACTCCCTCAGCATCTCCTCATAGGTCGTATGCTCCTGCCCCCTGATCATTTTGGTTGCCCTCCTCTGGACTCTCTCCAATGTGTCCACATCCTTTTTGTAGTGAGGGGTCCAGAACTGAACACAATACTCCAGATGTGGCCTCACCAGAGCTGAATAAAGGGGGATAATGACATCTCTGGATCTGCTGGCAATGCTCTTCTTAATGCAACTTAATATGCCATTAGCCTTCTTGGCTACAGGGCACACTGTTGACTCATATCCAGCTTCTCATCCACTGTAACCCCCAGGTCCTTTTCTGCAGAACTACTACTTAGCTGGTTGGTCCCCAGCCTGTAACAATGGTTGGAATTCTTCCATCCCAAGTGCAGGACTCTGCATTTATCCTTGTTCAACATCATCAGATTTCTTGTGGCCCAATCCTCTAATTTGTCTAAGTCACTCTGGACCCTATCTTTGCCCTCAAGCATATCTACCTCTCCCCCTAGCTTAGTGCCATCTGCAAACTTGTTGAGGGTGCAATCCATCCCCTCATCCAGGTCATTAATAAAGATATTGAACAAAACCGGTCCTAGAACCAAACCTTGGGCCACTCCGCTAGAAACTGACCGCCATCCTGACATCGAGCCGTTGATCACTACCTGCTCGGCCCGGCCTTCTAGACATCTTTCAATCCATCTTACCGTCCATTTATCTAATCCATATTCCCTTAACTTGCTGGCAAGAATATTGTGGGAGACCGTATCAAAAGCCTTGCTAAAGTCAAGGTATATCACAGCCACTGACTTTCCCATGTCCACAGAGCCAGTTACCTCATCATAGAAGCTAATCAGATTGGTCAGACACGACTGTTGCTTTGTGAATCCATGCTGACTATTTCTAATCACTTTCCTCTCTTCCAAGTGCCTCAAAATATATTCCTTAAGGATCCCTTTCATGATTTTTGCAGGAACCGAGGTAAGACTGACCGGCCTATAGTTCCCTGGAGCATCCTTCTTCCCTTTTTTGAAGATGGTGTAATGAGCTCTTTTAAATTGATTTCCCAAGCTCTGCAACTTCCTAGTCTAGATCAGTCCATCTGTCACCAGTACAACCTTATCTAGCTTTCTGCCATGTCCCAGAGATAAGCAGTAACAGGTTTCTGGCTGATATCAGTGCCAGATATATTAAATCAAACCAGTGGATGTGATGGAGAGTAAAATCTTGATTTCCTTCCCACCCCCATTACTGCTGTAACTTGAAGCACGCCCTCTACACCAAAGGTAGGTAATAAGTGGTCCACAGGCTAGACACGGTTTGCCAGGGTTAACCCTTGGCAGCCAGCTGGTACTTTATTTACCAGCACATCTGCAGGTATAGCAGCTTGCAGTTTGTGTTGGCTGTGGATCACTGTTCCCGTCCCACAAGAGCTGTGGGAGGTAGTGTCTTGATCTGCACTGCTTCCCACAGCTCCCATTGGCCAGGAATGGTGATCCATAGCCAACGGGAGCTGCAAACAGCCATACGTATGGATATTCAGATAAATAAAGTTCGAGCAGACCACCAGGCACTAATCCTGGTGAACTGCCTCCACCTTATTGCCCCCCATGTTCTACACACACACAAAATGATATGTAAGGCCTCTTTGAATGAAGTTTACTGGTGGGGGAGGCATTTTTAAAAAATGTTCCATTATCATAATTTGATCTGAAAGAAGTAGCAGGAGGGGATTAAAAGATTCTAATTTGATGGGCCCCTCCAGACATTTCTGCCTGTAGAAGTATGGATGTGTTTTACTTTTAATGATATACATTTTTCTTACCTTTTCTTAGATTATGATGTTGAAAATGATCTTCAGTCACACATCAGTTGAACACTGCAAGACATCTTACAAGACAGTCCAAAGTACAGAACTGCAGAAAGAATGCAATTTCTTCTTGACGGCTGTCCGCTTGGCCTCACTAAACCAGATTTTGGACCCCTGGGTTTATCTACTGTTAAGAAAAATCCTCCTCCGAAAGTTTTGTCAGGTAGCAAATGCTGTCTCAGGTTGTTCTAATAATGGATGGAAAGGGCGCTCTATCACACTAACAGATGAAATCAGACAGACAGAAGCATGAAAGAATATTGATACGCCTTGCATGCAAACTACTTTTGACAAGTGATAGAAATGTAGCCATGTTAGTCTGGTGTAGCTGAAACAAAAAACAGGACTATGTAGCACTTTAAAGACTAACAAGATGGTTTAATAGGTGACAAGTAGTCCTAAGCCTTACTGTGAACTTGGTCATCTGTGGCATACTCGTGTTTCCCCATAAGTAATGCAGCATAGTAGTACTTTTGAATGAACTTAGAATGCTGGATAATTATGTATCTGGTGTGCCAACAATACATAAACAATGGAGTATAATCTATTATTAAGAGCTACCTGAAATTCTGATATCTTTGTGATCTGCTACATCCAGATGTCATTCCCATCTCCTTTTTGGAGGGAAATGCAGAAGGCTTGAGGGAAAATTATAGGAGTCCATATCTTTCTTTAGATTTAAATAATTTGTTGGAAGAATTGCCAGTGTCATTGTGTATAATAATGGGGTTCAATTTCAAGTATTGAAAAGCAGCAGGAGTCTCTTTAGCTTACCATGGTAATGGTGAATTTTAGTGCATGTCAAAATAAACTCCCTGCTGCATAGGAGAAGGGGCTTTGGAGAACAGAACAAATGACACCCTATCGTCTTTTGTAAGATAAACTTTGCACTTTTCCTTTTACAAGTAATACCTGTGAAACACCCAGGAAGCATTGTTTCACATTACGAGGGAAGGTAGTCTCTTCACTATTCACAATAGATACCCCTTTCCTATTAATTAACTACTAAGATTTATATAGCAAAAAAAGTCACCCAACATGTTCAAAGAGAAGCTTTATGTGTGAAAGCCATGGTTCTGGGAACAGAAAGACCTTTCAGATATCATTGGGAGGGGGCACATATACCTCATATACAGCAACACTTCATTATTCAAGAAGTCTAAGGGATGGGTCACTTCCAATATGAAATGTCAGCCAAGAAATAATAGATTTGTCCTAAAAGATAACTTTCAGAAATATGACAGTCTTGGGATATATTTTATTTATTTATTTATTTATAGCCAAGCTCCACTGACAGCAAAGATTTCATTGGAGGGTCTCATTAGTCAGATCTTTCCTTGGGTAATTTTCAAGTTGGCGTGTAAGGACTCATATTTCTGCTGAAGTGTTTGGACATATTTTACTAACTTGCTTTTTTTTCCTTCAGTTTTTCACTGCCCTTTACTCTCTAACTTGTCCCATTTAATGGCCTCCTTTTTGGATTAAATTGCAATGAAATTGCAAGAATGTACACACCAAATACAGAACTGTCACACAAAATGCAAGCCTTTTGAAGTTAGTAGGGATATATTTTCTTATATCTAAATTCAGCCATGGAATTTCTACTGTAGTTAAAGGATGTTTGTATATTGGATTGGCAAATAACTGTGTTCATATATTACAGTATGAAAAGCCATTTGGCTAATAAGATCTTTACCATGGCATTATTATATTTAATAGCAATGCATTTATTAAATCCATAATAGATTTAAATCCACAATAGAATGGAAAAAAATAGCTGAAGTTCAAGCCTAATTTTTGATATCATACTAGTTTGTGGTCTGTTAATGGGCAGTATTAGACTTGTGCTACTGTAAATACTCCTGTAGGTAAGAATAGTATTCATGACAACTAATCTTCCTGTGACTGTATGTACACATTGAAATTGCATGAAATATGAAAATCCTAGGTGGCAGCCAGAAAGCTTTTGGCTAATCACTTTTCATGCTCTTGTGTCTAAGCTCTTTAATCTTCGCCATCATGACAGACAAAAAAGAAAAGTAACTGGAGTTAGCCTGGCAGATACCATTGTATGCCAAAGCCTCAGAGGTGATCACTTTTAATGTGAATTGGGACTTGACATCTCAATGATAATTCAAGAAACAGTGCACTTTGACCTTTTGTAATCCACTGTTTTTACTTTAAACCCATTTGTCGTCTTGTTCAGTTTCACAGTGGCACAAAAATAAACATTCTTATTTGTCCCACATCTGACTGAATAAGAGAAGAAATCAAGGCCTCACCCAAAGCCCACTAAAGCAAATGGCCCTAGGATCAGCCACTAAGAGTAGGTCTACACTGAAAAGAGAAATGTAACTCAGGTTAACTAACTTGGTTTAAACTAGCAGTGAACATAAGGAAACTCATCTTTTAACTCAAGATGGCAGTTTGAAGTTAATGCTGTAGGGCAGTGGCTTTCAAACTATGGGTGGTGGAATGTCAGGCACTGGGTCTTGTTGCTGCAGGGTGAGATTAGTAGGGGTGCTAAGACAGGCTTCCTGCCTGTCCTGGCACTGCAGACAGTGCTGCACTCCAGAAGTGGCCAGCAGCAGGCCCAGCTCCTTGGGGGTTTGGGGGGTGGGGGCGGGAAGCAGACAGGGCTCCATGCAGTGCTCCTGTCCTTAGCATAAGCTCTGCACTCCCATTCTCCCACTGGGAGTCTATTGCTAGCTGCTTCTGGGATGCAGCATGGTCTGCAGTACCAGGAGAGGCAGGAAGCCCGCCTTAACACTCTAGCTGCACCATTGGCTGGGAGCTTCTCAAGATAAGTCCCTCCTGCCCCAGCCATGATCCCCTCAAAGCTGAAGCTCCCTCCTATACATCAAAGCTCTCATTCTAGCCCCAACCCAGAGCCCACATTTAGTCAAATTATCTTGGGTCACAGGCATCAACACTTTTCTTCAACTGGGTCATGAGAAAAAAAGTTTGAAAATCACTATTGTACGGGAGCCTGGGGGACTACTCTACCCACTCGGTATAATGTGGGCACCACTACTTCTTTCTCATGTGCATTTTTGCAAGAAAGGACTAATCTAACCCCAGGAGAGAGTTCATAGCTTGAGCCCTATGTGAAGGAAGACATCTCTCTCTTGCCAGTAAGGTGCTCATATATCTTTGGGTATGTCTACACTACAGCGTTAATTTGAGTCAACGTAATTTGAAATAGTTAATTTGACTTAAGCTAATTTGAAATAATGCATCTATACACACAAACTATTTCGAAATAGCTTTTTGCTATTTCGAAATAGCACGTCCACACTGAGTGGACCCTGAACCGAAGTTAAGGCTTGCCGGAACCAGTGCCAGCAGGGCATCAGGTTAGGACTTAGTGTGTGGGGCTGCTGCCTGAGGCTAACTGAGCTCCCTGCTTAAAGGGACCCTACCCCCACCCCGGACAGACAGTTCTCAGGGTTCCCCACTTGCTTGTCTAACTCGATGAGGGACAGCAAAGCAGTCCTGTCTTGGAGTGCCCTGAGTGCCCGCACTTGGGACACCACAGCATTTGGCCACATGGAGCCAGAGCTGCCCCATGGCACACCAGTGCATCTCGTGGGGTCGTTGCCATCAGCCCAGCTGCACTTGCTGCAGGCTGCCATTCAGGGTGTCTATCGGAGGGCTATCAGGATCCAGGAGGCCCTGCGGGAGGGCGTACACCCCGAGGAGCCCTCAGAGCCTCCCCGGTCCTCCCCACTGGGGGCTCGTACCCCATTCCTCCCTCATGTCCTTCCACTTACCCCTCCCTAGACCCCCCTTCCTGATGTCAAATAAAAGACTTGTATGTTCAGAAATAAAACTGGATTTATTGAACAAAACAGGGGGGGGGGAATGAACCTCTGGGGAGACTGTGAAAAGGAGGTGGAAGAGAGGAAGAGAGATGGGGGGAATGGGGAGGGGGAAACCTGGGAGGAGGTAGCTAGAAGGGGGAAGCAAGGGGAAGAAGGGAGAGGGGAAGCTCAGGGTTGGGGGTCTCGCTGGACCAACTTGACTTTCATGCAAACCTGCTCCTGGGTTCACATGTGGCCTTTGGTGGCCAGGCTGGCAGCTATCCT